ATCACAAGCATTTTCAAGCTGCAAAATAGAGAGATGCGATTAAAAAGAAGAAGATAGAAGTAAAAACATACGTTTGTGAAGAGGTGGGATTGTTGTTGTTTTCGCCTCAGAAACACGGACGGCGACACACATCAGCAGAAAGCCACACATCCACGCAAACACTCGCGATTCGTCCATATCTGAGACGAGTTGTACAGCAGACGAGTGTTGGGTTTCTATCTGAGCTCTGAAATATTCCTTTCAACAACACAAAAATCCCCAAAAGTGTCCTCAACTGTTAGCAGCTAAAGCTATCGAGCGATCGGCACCGGAAACACAACAACGCACTGCTGCTTTCAAAATAAAAGTCCTCTGAGAACTCCAGGAACGAAAGCGTAAGCAGCGCGTGTCATTATCATCAAAGTATTTCCGGAAAACACAATCATTCAATAAGTCAAAATTTTGAGATGAAATGTTGAAATTATAACATGAAATGTCATAACTATGAGGTCAAAAGTCAGAATTATGAGATGAAAATGTTAAATTATAACATGAAAAGTCATAACTATGAAGGAAAAAGTCAGAATTATGAGAGGAAAATTGAAATTATAACATGAAAGGTCATAATTATGAAGTAAAATTGAGAAATTATGACATTAAAGACGAAATTATAACATGAAAAGTCATAACTATGAGGTCAAAAGTCAGAATTATGAGAGGAAAATTGAAATTATAACATGAAAAGTCATAATTATGAAGTTAAAACTCTAAATGATGACATTAAAGACGAAATTATAACATGAAAAGTCATAATTATGAAGGAAAAAGTTGAAATTACGACAATAAAAAGTCAATATTATGAGATAAAGGGCCAATTTTTATAAAAATTATTTTAATAAAAAAATATATTCTCATAATTATGACTTTTTAATTCATATTTTCGATTTTCTAAGCCATAATTCCGATGTTTAATCTCATAGTTCTAACTTTTGATCTCATAATTATGAATTAGCGTGTCAGTTTCGACCTTCTAAGTCATCATTTCAACTTGGTATGTTCTAGTCATAATTATGACTTATCAAAGCATGGTT